GTGGGATTCCCTTTCTGGAGTGTGTAGAGATGATACTGACCCTGCAGCTAGTACAATAAAATCGATGACTCCTAGCAGCTCTGGGGAGGGGTCCTGACAGTGCTATCACTAGAGTTCAGTCTTACCCTTCTGAGTACCAGACTTTCACAATAAGAACTACCGCTGTAAGTGTAGGTCAGTTTTCACCCAGGGCGGTAGTTCTGAAGACAAAGTCCGACAAAGAAACGTTTCGTTTCGATCGCTCAGCTGCTCATCCCAATCACTACGGGAATTACAGCCAGGAGAAATTCCTCTCTCTGTTTTTTGCAACACCTGAAGCGCTGGCAACACACTGACATGTCACATATGGATTCGATGTCGTCCCATTCGGCAAGATATACAGAACATTCCCAAATCGAAGAATATTTTCAGCGAATTAACCGGCCAACAGTTTAGTTCTCCCGTTACATCACACAAGTATCTCCCACTTCACTCGGCATCTCTCCGCTAGATTCTCACCAGCGAGGAAGTTAAAGACACGGGTTTTAAACACACAGACACTGTGATTTTATAGAAGTCACCCCCACTGACCTGACAGCTCCGGTTCCGTGTCCATTTCTTCTTTTATCTCTGCAGGGGCTTGACAGGGAGGCGTGTGTCCATCACGACCTGTCTGTCCCCGATCTCCTCCTGCTCTCGACTCCTTCTCCCAGAACCGCAATCTCACCTTCAGCCTCTCGTTTTCCCTCTTCATCTGCGCCATCTCAGTCCCGAAAGTCTCCTCCACACACTGGGTGATCTTAATCACGGCCCGTCTCACCAGGATCTGGGAATCGCCGCGGGGCTGCTCCTGCAAACTGTCCTCGGAGTCGGTCACCCTATTTCGGGGAAAACTTCCGCCACTTCATTCACGATCGCTTTAACCACAGCCACCAGGAAAGAGTGGAGCTCGGTCTCCAGTCGGAGCAACCAGTCCGACATCCCTACTTGCTCATCGTTTCGTAAAACAGCGAGGACTGACGCCGCCGCGTCTCTCCCCAGGCGCCCAGCATTTAAACAAAGAGCAAAGGACGCCTCTCGCCCTCAAACAGGAAGAGATTCCTTCTCCCACACCGAGCAGTTCCGGGTTAAACTGCGCTTCCTTAGTGACCGTTTCCAAGGAGCAGTAAAAAAAGGGGTTTCATCGAATTTACCCAGTTAAAACACCGAGCTTGTGAATAGATACACCATTTCTATTCATTTTGATCAGTAGTTTCACTGTCATTAACGCCATTTCTGGGGAAATATGAACCCTTTTAAGGAGTAGGAATAGTAGTCCTTTAGAAAAAAGAATTTACAGCTCACGTTAGACTACAAGGAAAGGCTATTCTGAGTTGTGGATGTCATACCCAATTTTTGAGATCCCTGTTGAAAAATGAGAATTTACTTGTGCTAGCAATATATTGGAATTCCTCAGTTGGAAAACGCATTGATTGGGGAAAAAAAAGATTGGATGATGCCCAATAAATATTGTATATCTAATAAGGTTAAGGAGGTTTCATACAAAATAATTAATCGAATTTACCCAGTTAAGACTCTTGTTACCCAGCGATTTAAAATTAATATGGATGACAAATATGTTTTTTGTGTGTGTGACAATAACCCTGAAACTATTCAGCATTTGTTTTGGTTATGTCCCAGGGTAAACATTTTCCGGACTAAGTTGCAGGCTTATATTAAAAGAGAAACCAATAGTGATATTTGTTTTGATGAAAAAGATGTTAAGTCGCAGCCCCATCGAAAACAATATTAAAATTTCGGTTTTAATTTAATTATTATAACGGCACGTTATTATATGCATAAAATGAATTGGTCTGGGAAGAACCCTTTGAGCATTTTAAACTGGATGTACGGGGGTATTTGCGGACTATTTCGAAGTGCAAAAATATGAAAGCGGTGCGGCCATCATTTTTTATTTAATTTGTTTAATCTTTTTTCATAACTTGAATTTACGTAGTAATATGTACCCCTGACGATCTTTCTGTCTTGAATTGTTATATGTACTCTTGTTTGTATTGTAATTCTTGTTATTCTGTTCAGCATAAATAAATACAAAAAATTAAAAAATGTAAAAAGGTGTTACTGTCTTACAGTTTTACACCATCAGCATTTTTTCTTTCGACAGCATTCCCAAAACACTTTTATGCTCTCAGCTTCTCTTCTTTTATTTTTTTCCTTGTTTTTTTTTGTATTGATATTGTCTATCTCTTACCTTGTGCTTATCTATTTATTTCTTAAAACCTACTGCCTAGCCTTTTGATACATTTGACACATCTAGTGAAGATATTACGGTAGTATTGACTGAAATTATTTTTTGTGTGTACAGCACAAATCGTTGAACACTATCTATGCTCTAAGCGCAGTGGTCTTTCCATTATTAAAAAAAATGCTTTTAATATGACGAGACAGAGATGCAGAACTAGTCATTAATTGTTCAGACCTGTGTCAGTCATAGTGGCCTTTTTGATAAATGTGCGAGTGTGTGTTTGAAACTGGCTTACATTTAGAGAAACGCAATATTATCAAGCAAGGAAACGGATTATCGTGTAATGGATATATTTACTTCTTATTATATTGGCCATATATATATAAATCTGTATTCTGTGTCTTTAAAATCTACTGTATTCAGTCACAACTCGATCAATCTAGTATTTCGTACTGTAACGTTTACGGCCGACAGGTACTGTGTAAGAGCCTACAAAACCTTACAAAAACTACAAAAACTTTCTTATTTTAGTCATTTAATCAGATTAAAAGTACCAATATTTGGTTGACAATGTAAAAGCATTCTCTATTGGTGTCTCATCCTTGACAAAGGTAAAGAGAACACAAATAATCTAATAATTTCGACGTTTTTGGTTAGATTTGTGAAACCACAATTTTGAAATCAAATTTGAAAACACCGTCCAAAAAAGCATTTGTAGTGCATAGCAACATTCACCGAGGAAGCGCTGGTTAACCCGGAATTCCTGTCTCAGAACTGGGCAAGAAATACTGATCGTTTCCAGGTTGAGCCGCTTTAAAATGTCATGTATTCCTGTCATGTACTGTCCGACGGCTGTGTTCAAACCCTGGGCGCTTTTTTAGGGCTCCAGTGGTCTTTTCTGCCCTCTCCATGTGGATCGTGTATAAAGAAATAGATTAAATTGGATGGCCGAGCTCAAATCTTTCTTGGATGTTTTTTTTTTATGCGGTTATTTCAAGGGCTCGCTTCCAAGCAAGCTCACACATTCTGTGAGGCGAGCCGTGTAAAAACCACACAAGTGTGTCGACGACAGTTTCTGCACGGAAACAGCCCAGATAACGAAAATGAGACCCTAAAGGAGGGATTGCAGTTCTGGGAGAAGGAGTCGGGAGCAGGAGGAGATCGGGGACAGACAGATCGTGTTGGACACACGCTTCCCTGTGAAGTGACTGCAGAGATAAAAGGAGTGTCCAGAAAAGCGCTACATAAGTGTAAGCAATTATTATTATTATTACTGATATTACCAGAGAAGTGTCAGAGAATAAAAATAACTCTCATTTGACTTTTTTGTGATCATTTTATTTTCTATTTTTAGACATAAACATAAAACAACCTCTCACCCCGCGGTCCATGTGGGTCCTAATGCCCCAGTATAGTGATGGGGGACACTAGACTGTAAACAGGCGCCGTCCTTCGGATGAGACGTCAAACCGAGGTCCTGACTCTCTGTGGTCATTAAAAATCCCAGGGCGTTTCCCGAAAAGAGTAGGGGTGTAACCCCAGCGTCCTGGCCAAATTTCCCATTGTCCCTTACCAATCATGGCCTCCTAATAACCCCCCTCTCTGAACTGGCTTCATCACTCTGCTCTCCTCCCCACTGAGAGCTGGTGTGTGGGGAGCGTTCTGGTGCACTATGGCTGCTGTCGCATCATCCAGGTGGTGGGGCTGCACATTGGTGGCGGTAGTGGGATTCCCCCTGACCTGTCAAATGCTTTGAGTGGAGTGTCCAGAAAAGCGCTCTTATCAGTGTAAGCAATTATCAATAATTAGCATTATTATCCAGGCGGGCGCCACATATTGGTGTTGGTGGTGGAGGGGGGGTCCCCATTATCGGTAAAGTGTAAGGAATGATTACTGTTAGTGACACTCCAGATCTGGTAGTTTTTAGCACTGGATCACTGTGAGACTGCACCATCCTGCGGACAGCCAGAGCTGAGTTCTCCAAAAACTTCCTGAGGGACAGGCTCTCTTTCTGGCTCTGGAGTGTCCCTCCAGAGCGCCCTCTTGTGGCCACTCCCAGTACTGACACTCCAGATCCTGCTGCAGCAGCAGGGAGATATTGGGAAAGGGAAATAATAATAATCAACTTTATTTTATATAGCGGCTTTAAAGGTGGCTTCTCAAAGCGCTTTACAGGATGACAACAATGATAAATAAGAAGAATAGACCAGATAAAACACAATTACAATACACAGAGGAGAGCGTGGATGGTGGTACTAAGAGAAGCAGAGGGGGTGAAGAACAGAACCAGTTCGGTAAAGGCTCTTCTGAAGAAGAGGGTTTGGAGTCTGGATTGGCAGGAGTTTAGAGAAGGTGACTCTCTGACATCCTTGGGCAGAGAGTTCCAGAGCCTGGGGGGGCACAACAGGAGAAGGCCCTGTCACCCCTAGAGTGTAGACGGGCTTGGGAGGACAGTAAGGAGAGCAGAGTTAGAAGAGCAAAGGTTGCGAGGTGGGGAGTAGGGCGACGATAGCTCAGACAGGTACTGAGGTGCCCAGCCATGCAGAGCCTTATAGGTGAGCAGGAGGGTTTTAATGTCCACACGGAATTTGACCGGCAGCCAGTGCAGGGACTCCAGGATAGGAGTAATGTGATCACTTGCACTAGACCTGGTCAGGATTCTGGCTGCCGAATTGTGGACATAATGAAGTTTGTTCAAAGTAGTTATAGATACCCCAGCGCGTAGAGCAGTACAGAAGTCAACTCGAGAACACAAATGTGTTGATCAGCTTTGCAGCCCCAGTTAGTGACAGCAGAGGGCGTAGTCGAGCGATGTTTCTGAGGTGAAAAATAGATGTTTTTACAATTTGCTGCACATCTGGGTCGAATGTTAAACCAGAATCAAATATCGCCGCCAGATTTTTCAATTTAGACTGAAGCTCAAGTACAGGGGGACAGTAAGGAGAGCAGAATTGGAAGAGCGAAGGTTGCGAGGTGGGGAGTAGGGCGATGATAGCTCAGACAGGTACTGAGGCGCCCAGCCATGCAGAGCCTTATAGGTGAGCAGGAGGGTTTTAAAGTTCACACGGAATTTGACCGGCAGCCAGTGCAGGGACTCCAGGACAGGAGTAATGTGTGGAGAAGGATCTGTGACTGAGAGGCAGAATCGTGCAGGAGAGCCGATGTCGCGGCCACGTTCATCTTTGCTGCCAGGCTAGTCCCGCGTGGGCGCATAAAACGTTTCGGGGCAGAAAAGCAGCCCGATTTCTCTTCTCGTGTCTCTGCAGACGTCCCTCCCTCCGCCTTCTGGTACTGGATCTTCATTGTCATCCCGGCGGTGGTGGCTGGGCTCCTCCTCCTCCTCCTCTGCTCCCGGCCGCTTCTGCTCTGTTGGCGGGGGGCAGCCAACCCCCTCTGCCCCGGGGGCCAGGATCTCGACACCCAGAAGCCTCTGCCGCCCTGGAAGAACCGCCGAGCTCCGGGCGGGAGGGGGACAGACGAGCCGGACCGGAACTGGAGACCGCCCAACTCGGAACCGCAGAGCCGGGAGGAAGACGGCAGCCTGGAGGAGGAGGAAGAAGAGAACCGGTCTCAGACTCCCGCCCCCCTGCTCGGCCACCGCGCCGGAGAGCTGGATGAGTAGGGCAGGGAGACCCCTCCCCGAAGGGGAGGACCCCGACACCCTGTCGTCCATCTTGGACTGCTCTGACATTTCGAAACATCGTTAAGCTCCCCCTGCTGTCCTCCTACCTCTCCTCCTTTATTGAATGCTAATAGACTATAGATATATACTAATACAAGTTGAGAATCCCTCATCCAAAATTCCTGGGACAAGAAAGTGTTGCGGATTTCGGATTGTTTGGGATTGCGGAATATTTTCCTATTTAAAATGGGACAGCGTTGCGGGGGGATAGGACCCACGTCGAAACGCGATATCCATTTACATTGCCTGAGATAAATCAGTGAGCCGGAACGTTCCGGATTTGGGAGGGTTTCGGAGTTTGGGAATTTCGGATAAAGGATTTTCACGTAGTTTTATATGCAGTTTTAATCATTACAACTGCAGCAGGTCCGAGAAACTTAAAGGGGGAGGGTACGCCGTCGATTAAATCACTGCGAGCCAGAACGTTCCGGATTTGGGAGGTTTTCGGAGTTTGGGAATTTCTGATAAAGGATTTTCATGTAGTTTTATACGCATTTTTAATCATTACCACTGCAGCAGGTCCGAGAAACTCGAGGGAGAGGGTACGTCGTCGATGACATCACTGGGAGCCGGAACATTCCGGATTTGGGAGGTTTTCGGAGTTTGGGAATTTCGGATGACGGATTTTCGTGTAGTTTCATTTCGTGTTTAATCATTACAACTGCAGCAGGTCCAAGAAACTTAAAGGGGGAGGGTGCGCCGTCGATGACAGCACTGGGAGCCGGAAAGTTCCGGATTGGGGAGGTTTCCGGAGTTTGGGAATTTTCGGCCTGGATTCGTGCCTGACCTGGTCCTGAGTGAGTGTGACATTTCCCAAAGAGCTGAAAGGCAGGGGGGGGAGAGCATTATCAGAAACAGGCAGGGCGCCATCTGTGGAAGTATATCATGTGTGGTTCTAGTACAAATGAAATGGTCAGTCATGAACTGCCATTCACAGTCACAAGGTGACCAGTGCTGTACCTGAACTGTAAAAATAATAATTGCTGACACTTATAGCACTTTTCTGGACCCTCCACTCAAAGCACTTTATAGGAAAGGGGACTCCCCCTCCACCAGCACCAGTGTGCAGCCCCCACCTGGACCAGTAGAGTCAGAACGCTCCCCACACAGCAGCTCTCAGTGGGGAGGAGAGCAGAGTGATGAAGCCAGTTCAGAGAGGGGGGTTATTAGGAGGCCATGATGGGTGAGGGCCAATGGGAAATTTGGCCAGGACACCGGGGTTACACCCCTACTCTTTTCGAGAGACGCCCAGGGATTGTTAATGACCACAGAGAGTGTGGAGCAAAACTGTCAGCAGGACATTTCCCAGGTTTATCGTAATCCAGTTTTTGCTATGCTTGGGGCGAGGGTCTCTGCGAACTGTGGACATATTTTTTTTTTTTAAAGCTGAATAATGTGAATATTCAGAACTGCCTGACGCACCTGGGAGCTGGACTGCGTTGTGTTCCAAGTATTCGATTCGGAGCGCTGAACTGTTGCCCGCAGTGGGCTGAAGTAGTAAAAACCTCTGTGCCGAACTCTCAGGTGTACTGTGCTTGATTACTCTGACACACTTAGGCGAAGAACTCTTAATACGTACAGTTGTACTGAACTCGGTACACTGTACTATAATACTCGGACACATCGGTGTACTGGATTCTCAACTGCGCGGCGCTTGAATAATTAAGGGCAGTGTGATCTGTGTGCTGTGCTGTTTTTTTATCACT